AAATTACATAACAAAATGTTTAGTCTTTTCATTGTGTTTACCATAACTTATCATTGCATTGCATGCATTTGACACCATTTATGAGGGGGAATAAAAAAAGACTGCTAAGCAAATATTTTCCTTCTTCACAGCCACAGACTAAAGACAGTATCTATATGTTTCCTCTTTAATACACTTGTTCCAGTCTTGTCAGACTGAGCCAAATCTTCTAATTTTTTAACTCTTTTCAACAATTTCCTAATGCTAGATTCATTAGGAACACATATGCTATTGAAGCAGCCTGGATTACAGTTTCTAAAACAAAACCCAAAAGTTCTCTGAATGGAAGGCTTAGTCCCAATAGATCTGAAGCAGAGGCAAGTAAGTTACAGAAACACTAGGGAAAAGGGAGGTAGTGAATTTAATGCATGTGGCTCTGAAGAGTAAAACATCATCCTTCACTCAGAGGAAGAACAATTCCAGCATTAAAAGTTAAGCATTAAATTTGATGTGAAGAGGGAAGAAAAAAAAAGTTGCATAGATTTTAACCTAAGTTAGCACTGACAGCTGCCTTCAGCTTAAGCAATTTTCTGGATGCAAAAGTTCTACATATTGCACATGTTAAGTAGACAAGCTTTCAAAATTCTTTCAAATCATTATAGGTAAATGCTTCATTTATACAACTAAATGAACATCTGAAGCTGCTAAATGCTATTCCTCAATATAAAAAACAAAACACCAAAACAAACCCAACTAACCAACCAAAAAAACCCCAAAGAAAACCAGAAACCAACCCCACAACCACAAAAAAAACCCACACAACACAAAATACAGCTGATAATTTAAATTATTGGATGACTGAAGAGAACTGGAAATTAGTGTAGTTATTCTAATATGAAGATGATGGTAAAGTGGTATTTATTATTCAACTATGGGTTAGTACCACATTCTTTTACTCGTGTATTTTATCCTTATAATCTTATCTACAGTAATTTCACTTTGGATTTGTGACACATTTATGTGTTTTATAATATATAATAAATATAATTATATAATAAAAGTCAAACAGTAATCATCCAACGATTAGAAAGAACAGCTGCAACCACTACTAAGATGAACAACTAGATCCACTCTGTACACAGGGAGAGAGAGAGTTTGACACATGCTATGGATGTAAGAAGGATTTTTTCCTTTTCCTTTCCTATTGCAGCATTGTGTTGGAATGCTCTAGCGTACAACCTACTCACAACATGAGAATTCCTTTTAAAGACAACTGTAGCATCCCTATTCTCTCTGGAAAAAGTTAAATCTGTGTCTTCCTGTCACCAAGGAGTTTGTCATAAAGCTGTTATTGCTCCATGGCCTCGGAGACAGAAAGCAGCAAGTTTGGACAAGAAGAAACAACTGAGCAAAAATCAGTTCCTCCTGATCAAGAAGCATTATGGCACCTCCCTGATGATAGGAGTTGTCAAGCACAGAAGTCTAATGGTCTTATGATTAAAAAAAGCATTGAGGGGCTAGCATCATGAAAATAATGTCCTGCCATATCACCTATCATATCAGCAGAAGAATAACTACATTTTTATTTAACGAGAAAGGAAGGACATAAACAATCTAAATCCACGTCTCTGTTTGCTAGAAGTTCAATGTCACTTCTATAATGTGAAGAGTACTGCATAGAACACCCAGGAGTGGCATCCTTCTCCTTTTTTGTTTGTTTGATTTGCTGGGGATGTTTTTGTTAATAACGTTTTTCACTTGCAAGTCACAACTGAAATCAAATGAAGAATACAAGACTGAAATCACTGCAATATTGCAGACATATATACATCCATATTACCAACCAAATAACCTAAATCTCTTCTAGATACATGCATGGATATAGCTTCCAGGAAAGAACACAATTCACTTTGGAAAGAACACAGTGAGATTCTTAACATTTTTTCCATACAAAGGATGAACTGCAGATGAAGTAGAACTATTGTTAAAAACAGTATTATCTATATTTTAAGGAATGCAAAACCAGTGTAAAAATCACTTGGAGAAATAAATGCAAAATACCAGAATTTTGTTCTGAAAAACCTATAATCTAAGCTGTTTGTAAAACATGTAGAACACAGCAATCATGCTTAAAGCTGATGAGAACTAGCACACTATGCACATGAATGCTGTTCCAGGTGAGGCCTGGTCAGGATGGCTGGCCTTAAACATAGAATTTGCTGCAATGCAAGTGTTCTGCATAAGTAAATGCTGTAAGTTGAGTTGCAAAGAAAACCAGAGTGAAACAAAAGCCATGCAGGATCACTCTGATTCACATTCAGGAAAATATCTGAGGTAGAAACTAGACTGGTACCTTCAATATATCTGTAAAATAGGGCAGTTATTCTAGATTAAAAGGCTTCACTGAATAGCTTGAAATGTCAGAACTGACTTTGGAGGAATCCAAGTGTGGAGGTCAGCCAGATACAGTGATAGACTTGTCATACCTTCACAAGACATCTATGACACTTCATATTCACCACTTCCACTGCTTTCCTGTTGTAGAACTATGTTAAAAATACCCTTATATAGCTGGATATGTTTGTGCTTTATTTTTCTCCAATGCATGAAGAATATATTTGAATGATTATGATAATTAAAAGCTGCTAATTATCTAAAGCTTATATACTTCAATGTATTCTCTTATCATCCTTGTGAGCTGACACTGTAGGGCATTACAGCCTACAGCAATAAAGAAGAAAGCTCTGGCATTATCCAGAATGTACAGCCTAACAAGCAGGTTGAAGAACTGAAAACTGTGACAATGACTAGTGCAGGTAACTCATGAGCTCCTCTCATACATTAGAGAAAGGAGAGAAAGATATCCTTATACAAACTCTACACTGTTGCATAAAAGTCTAAGGTTACCACACTGCAGTGTACACCTAGTTTCAGTTACAGGTGACAATTAAAGGTATAGAGTTATAATAGATTTAATATCATGTGTTATTTTATTCTATTCTTTGTCATATGAACTTGCCCTTGCAGAAAACTGTTGAGTACTCCCAGCAACAATACTGATTTCTGTGTTTCAATAAACCCTCGTAATTTTTCTACAGAAAGTACTGAAAAGTTCCTAATAAAATTACTTAGTAAGAGGTAAGAAATTCAAGACATAACTTATAAAGACATATTAATCCGATAATTGGTAACTTGCTTGACCTGTGTAGAATTATTTTACATATTTAATCTCCCTGTGTTTTAGTCATGTCCTCAACTCATCAGTTCTTTATACTCCCCTTGCATCAAACAAGGTACACTTTTCTTCCTTTACTAAGATTGTTACTGAATTTAAAGTTCAGGGGACTCCAGTTACGTTTTTTTTCTTTTGGTTACAATCAACAATTCTCTTTTTCAAAAAGAGCTTTTCCAAGCCAAAAAGCCCAATGTGTCCTCAGAAGTGCACATATCAGGAATTGCATTCATACAACTTCCTCCTATCCCTGCACAAATATAAGCATTAAAAGATTACCACCGAGTCAAGATGATGAGTGTCTTATTACAGTTTCTTGATTTGTCAGAACTTTTGCATTTGGCACAATGTTTACTTAAAATAAATGTACTCCCATTAAAATACTATTCTACTTATAATATTATAAAATATTTTAACTTCTCTTACTTTTCTTTTTTGCAAGTGGACGAATGAGATTTTCTTTCACTTGCCACTTCACTCTGCCATATGCAAAGAAAAGAAAAAGCAAGCTAAGTTTTCACTTAGAGAAAAGAATTATTGTGAAAAGGGAGTGCACTCATCTGAGCAAACATATGTTTATAGTACTTGGTATTTTGTTTGACATGGCCTTGATAATTGCTCCCTGCAGAATTATGAAAGATATTTGCCCATCTGTTATAATCTTCTTCTCCCAAATTCCAGATAAGAGAAAAAGTAACCTCTGAAAAACTCAAATTTTTTATCAAAAGTTGATATTAGATAGGAAAACAATGGAATATCAGTTAATTAGAAAAACTTAAAGCAAGAATTAAATCAAATGTGTGTATGAGATAAAAAAAACCCGAACAAAACAAACTACTTTGTGATGAAAATTTTACATGAAGTACCTCTCCAGGAACAAATCAAAGGAGAATATGCCATTCAAATGACATGTTTTATCTGTTACTTAATTTAGTGAAGAGTTCAGACAATGTACCACTATTCACACATTAGGGCTTTTTACAATGTGTTGCTGCAATGGCAGACATATACAAGATAAAAGGGTTTAGGATCTCTGCCCTTTCACCCACCCACAAGAAGTATATATCATGTCAGCCCCTACTGCCTCACAAAATATCCAAAACATTATCAATCAGATGGCTGATTCAGAACTACACCCATCCTGATGCCTGTTATGTCACACCTGTTTCTACCCCAAGCTTTGAAGACCTCAGCTGAGAATCATGGAAGGAAATAGATTCCACAGGTCCTACCGAAACCTGTGCTAGTGATTGAGCAGGAAGATATTCATTGAAGTTGGGGGAAAAACCAATACCACTGAAGAATGACAATTAAGGCAATATTGTAAGTGCTGTTTTTCTGAGAACTTGAACATTTAAGGCCATTAAATTATTGTGGAGTAGTGTTTGTGAGGCTGTTAACAGGAATGTTGTACTTCAGGTAACTTGCTTACCCAAATTTTCTCTGTAAAAATTAGACATTCATTCTTCTAACATTCTGTCATGAATACTTCCCCAGATGTCAAAACTTTTACTTGAGAGAGATTAAATATTTCACATTTTTGTATCATAATATATCTATGACCCAGATAATGAATACAGAATAAAAAATGGGGCCACTCCAGAGCTTTTAAGCATGAAATCCTTCTCTAGCACTGCAAAAGAAAATCATAAACTAATAAACTTTAAAAGGTGCATTGTATAAATATACTGACATGCAGGTGTCACAATTCTGAAAACTCAAGCAATACCTTTTTTCCATCCCCAAACCACTCCCTCTAGATCTTCTAAATTAAAGGAAAACAACTTACTTGCAAATATCATCTTCTGGGTCCTCAAGCCCAAATCTTTCATCAAAAGTAAGCTGTATCCATACATTTTCGTCTACTGCTACTAATCTCCACACTAGTACAGTATTGCGTGGGTATGTGTGTGGAAACTTGGGGCTGTGAATACTTCCATTAGTAGTCACAGTAATTATCTTCTCATGCTGAGGATCCTGCACACCTGTAGTAAAGACATAAAACAGATGCATCAATATTCATTTCTTCTCCTTTTCCCAAAGTGTAGGTATAGCATGCACAGCTAAAAGACACTTTTTTAGTTTGCTTTTCTTCATTTTGCAAGAATTTCTGCTTAGAAAGTCTGTATAGTAACAATAACCCAAAAGTGGTATGTATTACTTTGCTGGCAAAGAGTTATTCAAAACCAAGTCTCAACTGCTGTTCAGAAAGCAGAACAGAAGTTCAAGTGGAGATAAGAGAAATGTGACTGCAAGCACTTGACTACAAGACTGGACTCCTTACAGAAGTCCCTCAGCCCAAGGGCTACATCACACAGTGTGCCAATGGTTCCAGTTCTTTTTCACAGGAGATTGCACAGAGATCACACAAGGGTACAGGCAGACGTCTGCTCCCATCTACCACAAAAAGGATGATTCCAATTTGTCTCTTGTTAATGGAGATTGCCCTACATTTATTTGATCCTGTGATAAGGAGTTTGATGACTGCTGCCTTCCTGAGGATTTAAGTGGGATATGCTTGGGAAACTTGTAACCAAGTGTAAGAAATTGGGCATTTACAGACAAGCCTCAATCAAGAGCATTCCTCAAAATTGTTCACAGCACTGTTAAACATAGGTAATGTTAAATGAATATTCCACAATGTGTCAGGAAATTAATTCAAAATAAATAAGGTGACTGAATTTGATTTTTAAAGCACACAGTAACACTGAAACTACTGAAAAGACCTCTTCAGGTCATGAATTCATAACTGCGAGAAGTTACCAAAAGGAAAGGACAGAATTAGTGAGCAATGCCTTTCAGAGCCCCAACATTTTTTTCACAGTAACTCAAGAATCCTCATTCTCAAGAGCCCTGTGTTCACAGGAATTAATATTCAGCAGCTGAAACATAGCTCATATTGGGTATTTAGCTGGAAAAAAAAATCATGGACTCAGAATCAACTGGGTTTGAAGATACCTCAAGAATCACCTAGTCCAACCCTACCGTGGTTACTAGACTATGGCACTAAGTACCATGTCTCCTCTTGAAAACCCCCAGGGATGGTGAAT